CAGTGACGCCCAGAGGAGGAGAGCTTCCTACATTCCCGGACCGGAGCCATGCCTCAATTAGCAGAGTTTTCGGTGGAGCCGCAGAAGCATATTAACCTCGTGACCCCATGACTGGCACAGAAGTGGGTTCTTTCTCCACACTCCCTGCCTCTGTGGGTGACTGTCTTCATCCTTAATACTCAACGTGACATGAAATATGTGCAATAGCAACTGAATCACCGACACCAGATGCGCCGACAAATGGTCTGCATTACCCAAACAGCTGCATTGGGGCCGCCATCCACACTTCCAGCTTCAGCCCTGAAAAACGACCCTGTGGAGTCTGCTGGGGCTGCGGCTGCAGCTGTCACCTGGCAGCTCAGCTCAGGGCGCCCTCTCCTCTGCCCTTCTGGGCCGGGCAGGTTGGAGGCTCTTCGGGATGGTGACCCCCAGAGGCTCATTTTCAGCTGCTGTCCTTTGTGTACCATCAGTTGCCCTCCGGGGTTCGCCACCTCCTGAGGGGACTCCACAGCTGCTCCAGGAAAGAGGCACCCCGCTTTGCTGTTTCTTCTCATTTCATTTTCCCCGAGAAGTCAGAGCCATTCACCGCTCACTGCTGCATAATCAGTCTTACCAAGATACTAATGAATTTAAGAGGCTTATTTGTCTCCTTGGATGTTGCTAAATGCCCACTGTTCCGAAATACAGCCGTGTCATCCTCTCTCAATTTCCATCCGCACTGAAGCTATGACGGAGCAGGAGCTTTGTTCTGCTCAGAGCAGCTGCTGCTCTGTGACACACATCAAAGGGCGTGTGCTTCCACCCGCATCTCCCAGGCGCGCAGTAAGTGGCATTTGAGGGAGTTTGATGGAACTGTCTGAGTAAGTACTTGTGTTTAATGAGATTCATTCTTCATGGATTCCCACTCGATGCAAGACAGTTTTGCATTTACCAGTATCGTAATACCATAACACTCCATTTTAATAATGGCCGGTGGCAGCTGGCACCCCAATTCACAGCACCAACTTTTGTTAATGATATGCAATTCACATATAGTTATCCCCTATTGAGAGATGAGAGCACAGCAGCCAATTGGCTTGTACTTGTCTGACTTGAGCATAAGAATCAGAGTAACAAGGACCCAGTTTTCATGGCCTGTTATCTTTTGCTACGTCCCAGGTCCCGAGCGTCTCGCAGACTCTTAAATCCCCACTGAAGCTCATGAGCCTGAGCGTCTGAGAAGCAGGACTTTGTCTAACTCTTTGCACAAACAGACTCCTTAGGCTTTGCATCTGAGGTCTTTTGGAATAAAATCAGATAGCAGGATGCCTACAGGTAGGAAGAACATGAAGAAATTTCATTAATTAATTAATTCATTCATTCATTCAGTAGACAAATTCAGACAATAAACAATAAAGAAGCAGGCTGAGGCCAGACATAATGGTTCACACCTGTAATCCCGGCACATTGGGAGACTGAGTCAGGAGGAATGCTTGAGCCCAGGAGTTCAAAACCAACTTGGGCAACATAGCAAGACACCTTTCTACAGAAAGTAGAAAAATTAGCTGAGAGTGGTGGCATGTGCCTGTAGTTCCAGCTACGCAGGAGGCTGAGGTAGGGGGATCACCTGAGCCCAGGGAGGTAGACACTGCAGTGAGCTATGATTGTACTACCACTGCACTCCAGCCTGGGCAGCAGAGTGAGACCCTGTCTCAAAAATAAATAAATAAGGCCAGGTGTGGTGGCTCATGCCTGTAATCCCAGCACTTTGGGAGGCCGAGACAGGTGGATCACCTCAGGTCAGGAGTTCAAGGCCAATCTGGCCAAGAAGGTGAAACCCCATCGCTACAAAAAGTACAAAAAATTTAGCCAGATGTGGTAGCACACGCCTGTAATCTCAGCTACTCAGGAGGCTGAGGCAGAAGACTAGCTGGAACTCGGGAGACAGAGGTTGCAGTGAGCCGAGATCATGCCATGGCACTCCAGCTTGGGTGACAGAGCAAGATTCTGTCTCAAATAAACACATAAACAATAAATAATTATAACAAAGAAGAAAATATATAGATCAGAAGAAGAAAAGAATCATGAAAATCAATAAATTTTGGTTAAATAAATAAAGAATGTTGGAACCTCAAACTGATCAAGAGGATGTTTTTGTTACCTTAGGAGGAATCAACTGGATTGCAATGACAAGAGAGTTAAAATGGAAAACATTTTATTTTTATTTATTTTAATTTTTTTGAGATGGAGTTTCACTCTTGTTGCCCAGGCTGGAGTGCAATGGCGTGATCTCAGCTCACCGCAACCTCCACCTTCCGGGTTCAAGTGATTCTCCTGCCTCAGCCTCCCAAGTAGCTAGGATTACAGAGCGCGCCACCATGCTCGGCTAATTTTGTATTTTTAGTAGAGATGGGGTTTCTCCATGTTGGTCAGGCTGGTCTCGAACTCCCAACCTCAGGGGATCCACCAGCCTTGGCCTCACAAAGTGCTAGAATTACAGGTGTGAGACGCCACACCTGGCCTGAAAACATCTTAAAATCAGCAAGCCAACTCTCAAAGATCTCCCAGGCAAAGAAGTCCTGACCTTCCCACAGTGATTTCAGCTCATTTTTAGACCTATTTATTGTCTAAGATTTAGAGGCAGAAAAGATCAGAATCTGCCTTTCCTGACATAGCATCCAGTCCTGAGGACAACAAAATGGTCACCCTCATTTGAAGAATTTTTTTTTTTCTTATAAAAATTAGGCAAATTCTCAGACGGGCACAGTGGCTCATGCCTGTAATCCCAGCACTTTAGGAGGCCATCGCGGGCAGATCACAAGGTCAGGAGTTCAATACCAGCCTGACCAACATGGTGAAACCCTATCTCCACTAAAAATACAAAAATTCGCCAGGCATGTGCCTGTAATCCCAGCTACTCAGGAGGCTGAGGCAGGAGAATCGCTTGAACCCAGGAGGCAGTGGTTGCAATGAGCTGAGATCGTGGCACTGTACTCCAGCCTGAGAGCGAGACTGTCTCAAAAAAAAAATATTGTATACAAATTCTGGCCAGGTGCAGTGGCTCACACCTGTAATCCCAGCACTTTGGGAAGCTGAGGCGAGCAGATCACCTGAGGTCAGGAATTTGAGGCAGATCACTTGAGGCCTGGAGTTCAAGTCCAGCCTGGCCAACATGGTGAAACCCCATCTCTACCAAAAATACAAAAATTAGACGGGTGTGGTGGCAGGCTCCTATAATCCCAGCTACTCAAGGGGCTGAGGTATGAGAATTGCTTGAACCTGGGACGCGGAGGTTGCAGTGAGCCAAGATTGTGCCACTACACTCCAGCCTGAGTGACAGAGCGAGACTCCATCTCCAAAAATATAAACAAACAACAACAACAAAAAGAGGCCAGGCATGGTGGCTCACACCTATAACCCCAGCACTTTGGGAGGCCGAGACAGGCAGATCACCTGAGGTCAGGAGTTTGAGACCAGCCTGGCTAACATGGAGAAACCCTGTCTCTACTAAAAATATATAATTAGCTGGGTATGATGGCACACGCCTGTAATCCCAGCTACTCAGGAGGCTGAGGCAGGAGAATCGCTTGAACCCTGGATGCGGAGTTGCAGTGAGCTGAGATTGCACCAGTGCACTCCAGCCTGGGCGACAAGAGCAAAACTCCGTCTCAAAAAAAAAAAAAGAGTGCCTGAATGACAACAGGACACTGAGGATCACCCGGAAGGAGGAGGAAGAGTGTGCAGGGAGTCACAATGCTCTTTGGAGGGAGCCTGTTCGGGGCGGGAGGACAATGCCAAGGGCCCTAAGACAGTACTGTGCTTGGAATGTTCGAGAAAGAGCAAAAAAGGCCACAGTCAAGGAGGCGAGACTGTAGGAGACAAGGTCAGAGAGGGAGCAGAGGCTGAATGACACTTGGGGCCGGTGTCAGGGTGTGGGCTGCTGCTGGGTGAAGGGGAAGCCAGCAGTTTTACGCAGAAGAGAGGCATGCCCTGATGACATCTCAACGGGCTCCCCTTTGAGAGGGGAGCTTTTTTTTTTTCTTTTCCTCATTGCTCAGTATCACAGAAAGGGCTCACCAGCTTCTATGTTTCAATAGACTACTGTGGGCAAGGGCAGGACAGAGAGACCCATCGGGAGCTGTACCCCTTGAGGGCTGCCATAACCGGATACGGCACCTGGGCAGCTTCAGCCACAGACATCTGTGTTCTTACAGTTCTTGAGACTAGAAGTCACAGATCAAGGTGTCAGCTGGTTCAGTTTCTCTGGGGGCCTCTCTCCTTGGCTTGTGCACAGCCACCTTTGCACTGTGTCCTCACATGGCCTGTCCCCTCCGTGGGCACCCTGTGTCTCCTCCTCCTCCAAGGACAGCAGCCGTGTTGGATCAAGGCTCCACCATTATCATCTCCTTTCATGTCTTAAAAGGCACCATCTGCAAATACAGTCACACCGGGAGTTAGGGCTTCTGCATGTGAATTTTTTTCATAATTCAGTTCATAACAGGAAGCAACTGCACTAACCCCAACAAGAGAGGACTGTGTTTGAATCCTGGTCTTACCAGCGGAGATGGTGAGAAGGAGCTGGGTTTGGGCTTTTCTTATGAAGGCTGAATGAGACAGAAACGTTTTTGTTCCAGCGTTCATGAGTATCAAGAATGAGTGAAAGGAAGACATTAAATTGTGAACACTAGAAAAAAGAGTAGCAGAGAGGTCAGGGGGCTGGAAGGAATTTTCTTTTGGCTCTTCTGCTTTTTAGTTCTGAAAACAAGCCTGTAATGGAGTCTAACTGAAAGAAAATAGAAATACAAAGGAATTTTTATTTAAATATAAAACCATTTTTTAAAAGCCTGTAGCTCTTGAAATTTAAAAGTACAATTAAAAAATAAAGCCATTTTGTTAGTTTTTTACTGAAATATAACAAACTTTCAGTAAACTGCACATAAACACATAAATAAAAATAAACTGTGTAGTCCTGGCATACGGGCAGACATATAGACTAATAGAATACAACAGAGAGCCCAGAATTTCTCATTCTGCAGCACACACACTAAAATTGGAAAGATACAGAGGAGATTCGCATAACCCCTGCACAAGGATGACAGGCAAAAATAAATAATTATTTAAAAAATTAAAAGACTACAGAGCCCAGAAATAAGCTCTCATACATATAGTCCAATAATTTTTAAATTAGGGTCCCAAGACCAGTCAGTTGAGAAAGGAGTATTTTCAACAAATGGTTTTGGGAAAACCGGATATCTACATGCAAATGAATGAACCCGGGCGGTTATCTTATGCTATATACAAAAATTAACTCTAAATGGATCCAAGACCTAAATGTAAGACCTAAAATAATAAAACTCTTCTTTTCTTTCTTCCTTTCTTTTCTTCCTTCTTCCCTCCTTCCCTCCCTCCTTCCTTTCTCTCTCTTTCTCCTTCCTTCCTTCCTTCCTTCCTTCCTTCCTTCCTTCCTTCCTTCCTTCCTTCCTTCCATTCTTTCTTTCTTCAAAATTACCCAGCTAATTTTGGCATTTTTAGCAGAGACGGGGTTTCACCATGTTGGCCAGGCTGGTCTCAAACTCCTGAGCTCAGGTTATCCACTTGCCTTGGCCTCCCAAAGTGCTGGCATTGCAGGTGTGAGCCACTGCACGTGGCCAGATTTTTTGAAAATATAGTGGACACTATATTTCTGTAACTAAACCTTACAGAAAAATTCTAAAGAATATAAAGATACTGAATTTCCAAATTTCTTTATAGGAGATGAAATGAAAAAAAAAAAAAAACATCCTATTATAGTTGCTGGAAAACAGACCACAGGTTTTGTTAGAAGAAAATACTCTTGAACTTGAACCAAGGGAGTTGTACATAAGCCTGCCCTGTGAATCTGCCGTTGGTACTCAGAATTTACTTCTCTCAAGCTGCAGAATGTTAGACTATAGATGACACTTTTATTTATTTATTCATTTTCAGATAGTCTCACTCTGTTGCCCAGGCTGGAGTATGATGGCGTGATCTGGGCTCATTGCAACCTCCGCCTCCCAGGTTCAAGTGATTCTCCTGCCTCAGTCTCCCACATAGCTGGAATAACAGGTGCCTACCACCACACCTGGTTATTTCTTTGTATTTTTAGTAGTGACAGGGTTTCATCATCTTGACCAGACTGGTCTCAAATTCCTGAGGCAGGTGATCCACCTGCCTCAGCCTCCCAAAGTGCTGGGATTATAGATGTGAGTCAGCACGCCTGGCCGAGATGACACTTTTGATAGTAAACAGATGAGCAGTGGCTCCTACTCCCCCAGAACTATAACAAAAAAATCTTCCAAACAGTGAATGACATCACAGCAACAGGGACCTTTCTAGGAATTTCCCAGTTCTGTGTTTTGGATTTTAGAGACCCTAGGCAAAATAGTAAGAAAATTATCCTCAGAGAGCACCCCCACCACCATAAGCTCTTCTCCCCCAGCATGAGCTGTGTGTGTCTCTGTTTCAGCACTTCACATGGGAGTCTATGCCACTAAGCCTCTTCCATCCCCCTTCAGGAAGTAGGTGGTCCTGGTGCCTTCCCTGTTTCTCAAGGGGACAGCCAGTGAATGCCATCCCTGAACCTAGACTAACACAAATTACGTGACAATACAGTCTTCCTTTGGCCACATAGTGGTATCTGTATTTTTTAAATTATTATTCCTTTTTTGAGATGGAGTTTTGCTTTTATTGCCTAGGCTGGAGTGGTATAGCACGATCTTGGCTCGCTGAAACCTCCACCTCCCAGGTTCAAGCAATTCTCCTGCCTCAACCTCCCGAGTAGCTGGGATTACAGGCATGCGTCACCACACCCAGCTAATTTTTGTATTTTCAGTTGGGATGAGGTTTCTCCATGTTGGTCAGGCTGATCTTGAACTCTTGACCTCAGGTGATCCACCCACTTTGGGCTTTCAAAGTGCTGGGATTACAAACATGAACCACTGCCCCTGTCCTTATTTATTTATTTATTTATTTTATATATATATACTTTTTTTGAGATTGAGTTTCGCTGTTGTTACCCAGACTGGAGTGCAATGGCACAATCTCCGCTCACCGCAACCTCCGCCTTCTGGGTTCAAGCAATTCTCCTGCCTCAGCCTCCCGAGTAGCTGGGACTACAGGCGTGCGCCACCATGCCTAGCTAATTTTTTGTATTTTTAGTAGAGATGGGGTTTCACCATGTTGACCAGGATGGTCTCGATCTCTTGACCTCGTGATCCACCTGCCTCGGCCTCCCAAAGTGCTGGGATTACAGGCTTAAGCCACCGTGCCCAGCCAAATTTTGTATTTTTAGTAGAGACGGGGTTTCACCTTGTTAAACAGGATGGTCTCGATCTCTTGACCTTGTGATCCACCTGCCTCGGCCTCCCAACGTGCTGGGATTATAGGCGTGAGCCACCGTGCCCAGCCTTATTTTATATTTTTTGATACGGAGTCTCGCTCTTGTCACCCAGGCTTGAGTGTAAGGGCATGATCTCAGCTCACTGCAACCTCCACCTCCTGGGCTCAAATGATTCTCCTGCCTCAGCCTCTCAAGTAGCTGGGATTACAGGAGCCCACCACCATACCCACTGATTTTTGTATTTTTAGTAGAAACGGGGTTTTACCATGTTGACTGGGTTGGTCTCAAACTCCTGATCTCAGATGATCTGCCTGCTTCAGCCTCCCAAAGTGCTGGGATTATATCTTGGCGTGAGCCACCGCACCCGGCCCCAGCTGTATCTCTAACGGTGGATCTCTCAACATTTGATGGGGATGTGGGTTAGGGACTGAGGCAGAGAGATTTGGTGCTCCTCAAAACTGAGCAGCTGCCCCCCCCCCACACTAGTGTTGAATCCCAGGGCACTTCTGCCCTGACCAAGGCTGGAAGGCTCAACTGAGGGCATAGAGAGCTGGAGAAGGGAGAGAGGGCACCTGCTTTACCATTTTTGGCCGGGATTCAGTTGAAACATTCCAGCCAGCCAAAAGGGCATTTACTATTCCAGTAGCTCCTTGGAGAATCCCAGACAGAGAGCGGCCCCTTCTAAATACTTGATCAGCCATTCCTGTGTGAGACATAGATGGTGAGACTAAGATGTCTGGGAGGAATGCAGTTTCCCAAAGCACATTCTCTGAGCAAAGTTTCCAAGTTTCATAGATCTGTAGTTTCTCACACTGTAGGGACAAAGTGGTGGTGGCTCTGACTGTTGTATTCGTGATTAATGGGCAGAATGATGAGGCAGTTCCTGCTGGGCTCTGTGGAGTGTTAGCATGTTGATGGCACCGAGTGGTTCCAGCCTACTAACCCCAGCCCTTTGTCAGCTGCACATAGATAAGGCAGCAGAGAGCGAAGCCAGATGATTTCCTGCTTTGGCCCATGCAGACACTGCCAGTACAGTGCTCGTCTATGTTCTTAGCAGCCTGCAGCAGCAGGGTATATTATCCTCAGCAATGTTCTCAGCCAACTCTTTTTCTGAACTTTTCTTTTTCCCTGCACAGTTTTAGTCCCTGGAACATCTCATTTTAAAATGCATCAGTCAGGGCATGATGGCTCGTGCCTGTAATCCCCGCACTCTGTGAGGCCGAGAAGGGAGGATCACCTGAGGTCAGGAGTTCAAGACCAGCCTGGCCAACATGGTAAAACCCCGTCTCTACCAAAAATACAAAAATTAGCCCAGCGTGGTGGGCGCCTGTAATCCCAGCTACTCGGGAGGCTGAGGCAGGAGAACCTCTTGAACCCAGGAGGCAGAGGTTGCAGTGAGCCAAGATGGCTCCTCTGTACTGTAGCCTGGGTGACAGAGCGAGACTCTGTCTCAAAACAAAACAAACAAAAAACCAAAATGCATGAAAACCCGATATAATGGCCCATTCATCTTAAAAAGCAGGAAGAATTGCAGACCAGTTTTTGGGGGCCATGTATATGCTGCCTCGCCAGGCCTCACCAGGTGTTCCTGCACAGCAGTCCCCAAGCATGTGACAGACACATTCTAAGGGAAGAGACCCATGTGCTTGTCTTAACGCTGTATAGGCAAGGCTCTTCTAGCAATACTAGGTCCCACTGAGAACCTCCCACCCTGGCATCTGAGCTCCTGATTTGACAAAGGAGCTTGCCTCCTTTGAATGACCTAGAGCACAGGTAGGAACTTGTCCATTAGCTTGGAATTGTGTTCTTCATAAAGACTGAGGCAAGCAAGTGCTGTGAAATAACATCTTAGTCCCTTGGTTTGTTGTTTTTTTTTATATTTTGAGAATAAAACTTCATATAAAATTTAAAACAAAAGATGTCTGATCGCTAACATCTTGGGATTGTAGCTCCCAGTGAAAGCACAGAGAATGAGAGGACGCCACACTTTCAGACGAATTTTTGTCGCTCACGGACCAGAAGATTCCCAGTGGAGGAGCCCCACGGGTCGCCAGCATGACTCTTTTGGCTGGCACAGTGATTTTGCTGGCGCCTCGGCGTGGCAGCTCTTACTGCAGAGTAAACGGGACTGGTTCCTCTTCTGACCAACGTTTGGAGCTCCGGGAAGGCAGAGTCGCCTATTGCAGACTCAAGAAGGAAGCCAGACTGGAGATTCCCGAGCAGAAGAGCACCATCAGTCTTAACACCACTGTTTTGGCAGAGTGGGTTGCTCAGATTCTGGCGCTGGGAATCAATAAATTGGATGTCCACTCAGAAACCTAATTAGAAAGGCGGTAATTGTAAAGATGACAGATGGATAAATTTATAACGAAGGGAAGAAAACAGCCTAAAAAGGCTGAGAATACCCAAAATCAGAATGCCTCTCCCTCTACAGGGGATTACAGTTCCTCATCAGCAACAGAACAAGACCTGATAGAAAATGACTGTGTTCCATTAACAGAATTAGGCTTCAGAAGGTGGATGATAAGAAACTTCTGGGAGTTAAAAGAACTTGTTCTAACCCAATGTAAAGAAACTAACAACTTTGAAAAAAGGTTTGACAAAATGCTAACAAGAATAGACAATATAGAGAGGAATATAAATGAATTAATGGAGTTGAAAAACACAACACGAGAACTTAGCGAAATATGCACAAGTTTTAATAGCCGAATTGATCAAGCAGAAGAAAGGATATCAGAGGTCGAAGACCTACTTAATGAAATAAAACAAGA